ATCAAACAAGAGTGTTGCTGTCACCACCAGTAGGCACAATATTTATTCTGTTGTATATCAATCATGTTTCTTTCTATGTTTATGTACTTTTTTTACTGTGCTTGCACTGTGGAGGAGGAGGAGGAGGATTGGGGATATCCAGTTTTGATTTTGGTAAGACGTGGTGAAGTGAAAGTCTGTTTTTTTTTTTTGGGCAGGTTTTTAAGACACTTTAAGAGAAAAATTGATTGATGTATAATGAAACCAGTTTATAAGCACAGGTTTTAAATCAAGGAATAACCGAGCGGAAATTGTAAGGAGCGGGGCACCAAGCAGCGGCTCCGACTGGGAATGTGCCGCCAGTCATTGACGTCATAGCGAAAGGACATATAAAACTGAGGGGACCTTATGTACTTTCTAATTTTTGTACATGTTATTTTTGTACAGACGAGGGTAAAATTGACAAATTCAAAACCTATTTGAAAGTAAACTTGCCTTTATTTACACAGCATCAATGCTAAAAAGTCTATCAGTACTTTTTTAACTACAGGTCCTTAAGCTAATAAAACTAAAAACCAACCAGGCTCACTGAGACAAGTGCAAACCCCTGCCAATTTGGATTTTGGAAAAGCACTAAAACCTATAAACACCCACAGGGGGGGCATGACTTGTAGTTTTTTATTTGTAATTTATGGAATTATTTGTGACATTATTTTTTTGGGACTTTATTCATTGTAAATGAAAATTGAGAATAATTTAAATTATTTTCATTTTCAGTATAAATTGTATGAAAGGAAATTTTTTTGGGTTTGTTTTAAACTAGTGAGGTAGAAAAGAAGAAAGTATCAAGACAAAGAGACCATGACACCTGCCAATTCTGTCTGCTCGTCGGGAAGTCCAACAATCTCTCTCCATTGCTTTGACTAAGCCGTCAGAGGCTTTTCTTGGCTCTTTACATGTTTTTTATATACAGAACCCATTTTTATCCACTCTTTGTAGTCTATTCTGGAATTACTTGTCCTTTTTATTAAGTACCTCTTTGTAACCCATGTTGACAATTAGATGAACGGAAATTGGGAACTGCACATTCAATGTTTGAAATGTGGTACGTGGGGATGGCATCAGTATGGTACAAGCACCGAGAGAGACTCTGAGTTTAAGCAGTCGTTCGCCATGTCATTTACGACACTACTTTACTGGCGAAATTGTTGACATCACCTATAAGGACACTTTTTGCCATCGAAATGGCAATTGGACCCTCGACCAAACAACTTTATTGCTGGTGTAGGCCATGAAATGTGGTTGACTTTGTTTGTTTCTAATTGGGCCCATGACACACGGGTTTTAAATTTTCTAGCAGCAAATGTCATGAAAGTAAATTCATTAGACGCTCTGTCATCTTTGACGATCTTTGTAATCTAGTTTTATTCTGTTGTACCCTTTTCCCATCTATCATATATATATATCTGAATTATGCAAAAAGATGTTTGACATCGAGTTTTATAGAGAATGTATTCGTATTAAAAATCCTGGTAGCACACTTTTTCAGACGAGTATTGTGAAAGGGTGTGGGGCTCGTCTTTATGGCTGGTTACTAACTTCTTTTTTCAAAGTGCAATGTGAACAGACTGACTGGAATTTAAAATGTATAAAATCAACTAGGGTTTCTTATAAAACAAAGGGACTCAAATTATTTGTTGTCACTATGATTCAGAATGTGATTTGTAACAAGTAATTTTTTATTGAATAAAATAAACAACAATGTTTTTGCTCAAAGCACTTTGACCATTTCCTTCATTTTCATGACTAGTTTTCTCTAAATGACGTTGAAACAATAATTTACACTTGTTCAAGTTAATAAACATGATTTCAACTGTTCATTGTAAATATTTCTATATTTATCTTTCCATTAAAAAAACATACTTTGTATATTTCTCTGTAAATGCTCAAAATACCTAAATTATAATTTCTATATTCACACATGACATGAAACCATATTATTCATTTCTAACAAATTTGGATAAACGTTTTATTCAACTTTGTCAATAATATATTCATTTTCAAAAACAGTCTGTAGTTTGGAGTGACCGCGGGTTCAATCCCAGCCGCAGTTATGGTTTAATTTCATATTATTGGAACTATTATTATCATGACATTTACTTCAAATATTACAAGTTTTGTCCTATTCTATTCAAACACACACTTTGAAAATTAAATCAATCAATCATTGCTAAAAACTAATCATTTCAACTACTAATTACATTTCTATAACAAACAATCTCTCTAAATTTTATCTAAACTATCTCAACAAAATTAATTAAACTTTTTCAATTTATAAATTTTTATATATCTTTTCTAAATTCTTTAAATTTACATTTCTTTTTTTTATTTCTAAGTCGTTTCTACAGTTTCTCTAATTTTAATTTGAAATTTCATTAACTTTTATATACATATTACACCTATAACAAATCAAAAAATAAATTTTTATTCTGTACTTTTTCGCATTTCACAAATATAACTTTCAAATAGGAACAAAATATATATAAACTGACTTATTAAAAAAATTTATTACATCAAAAAACTAACAAACCCTACAACCCTCACATGAGGTTCAGCAACATTGCTGAAGGGCTCTTCATTTACGGAATTGCATCTATCCTCAACTTCCCACAATTAACCCTCACTACCTTCCAGACATAACCAACCCCCCCTTCCCTACACTATAATCCTACCAATTCACATTTATTATAATAACTTCTATTTATTGGTATCATGTTTCACAAACAATGTTACTAACCATTTCACAGTGACAAATCAACCCATCCAGAGTACATTAATACCCGGTATTTCCAAAACGCAACCCTCCACACAATGCCTCAAACACCACAAACATATATAAACTCCCACATTATATATACACTTGCAGTCATATTAACAATGAAAAGTCTGGGATGCAACCTTCATCATTAACTCTGTATGTTTGTAGGCATTAATGAAAATTTGCTCTGGACACCAGCAGTATCTTCACTCTTTCAGTGTTCAAAGTCATTATGGCTTTTACAATGCTCATTCCACAAGTCACCAAAACCTATTATACCTCCCTTTCATTCAATAACTAACTAACTATGAAAAATTATTTTACAAATCATTAAAACCCTCTCTCTAACATGATCTATATAATATCTTAACCCACACCACCACCACTGCTGTTGCTGCTACCATACACTTCCAACAACCTGTAAAACAAAAATATTATACTAATTATACTTGACATTTCGGAAAATTTAAATATTTCTCAAATTTTTAAATCTTTACTTAAATAACACATACAAATTAAATTATTTTATAATACCTTTTCAAACTTTGATCAATACTTCATCTATATATTAAACCCTATTTTTTAAATTCATAACAAATATTTAAATAATAGTTACTTCTTTAACCTCTGACCAAATAACTTAATTACATTACCTAATATTACTCGAGTCGACTCCATCCACAGCTACACAGTCAATGACAATATAACCTCACTTTGATTATTATTATAATCAAGGGGGAAGCGCTAAACCCGGAGGATTATACAGCTTTGGGGGCGGGGGGTATGTGGAAGGTATTCAAGCTTAATTCGGGGAATTGTAGCACAAATCCAATTCCCTAAATCAAGAGCCCCTCACCAACATCAAGGAACCTTCCTTGAGGGGACCTCACTTTCAAATACTCACTTGTCCTTATTTCTTAACATCTCTTTAATAAAATCTTTACACCCAACATATTATTGCTTATTTACTTAAACATTTTAAGCCTGCCCATAATGATACTCATAAAAGGCCCTTTGGCATCTTACAAACAACTCACTTTCTTTATTCCTCCATCTATCGTCTTAAAATTAATAATTATATTTACTTAGTGTTTATTTCTTAAATTCCCCTCAAGGAAAGTTCCTTGATGTTGGTGAGGGGCTCTTCATTTACGGAATTAGATCTCTGCTCCAGTTCCCCAAATTAAGCCTCAATGCCTTCCACATCCCCCCCCCCCCCCAGGCGCTATATAATCATCCGGGTTTAGCGCTTCCCAACATTGTAATAATATTATTTCTAAAATTACATTTTTTTTAAATAATATTACTTAACTTTTCATTATTACCTTCTCTGTCTCTGCCAAACTCCCAACAACACTACCAATCATCTTATCAAAAACTCTCACCTGCAATAACAAAAAATACATTAATTACTTGCCAATAGTCAAAAACATTTCAATACTACAACTAAATAATAACAACACTTGCCTTTCTAAATTAGTTGCTTCAACTCTCTGCCTCAACACAACTCGCACAACTAAATTTGACCATTTAACTAAATCGTCACTTCCATCACTCAACCTGAAACAAATGATAACTTAATCACTTAATATTTTCAGTATTTACATAAACAATTCAACAATAAATACAATGGAACCTCAAAAATCAAATTACTCCAAAGACGACATATTATCTAAGTGTATTTTCTTAAGTGCTTTTATAAATATTTTTTAACGTCTGAAATGGAATATTCTAATTTACATTATTCTTGACGGGAATAATTCATTCTGTAAAGGTATTAATAGCCTTCTGCACCAAAGAAATTTGGATATTTGACGTTCCACTCTACATACCTTTCAACAATATTTCCTTAAACAACTCGAAAAAAAACAAAAATATATTTAAATATATTAATGACATTTCACTCATAAATAATTGTAAATTTTTCAAGTATTAATATCTAACCCACTAATTGACATATTTCTTAAACTGAAAAAAATAATAAATATTTTATTGATCCTACACTACATATATGCCCGCCATTATATCAATAACTAATTAATTTAATATTAAGAACTCAAACAACAAATGTATACATAACTCCCACATTACATATACACTTGATCAAAAATTAATAATGACAAGTCTGGGATACGACCATCATTATTTATTCAGTGTTTCAACCCTAAATGCACAAAAACTTACTTTACTTTCTTCCTTCTGCATCTAAAACTAATCTTCATCCTCTCAACAACAACCTCCCTACACGTAGTACCCTTTAAGACTCCTCAAACAATTTACAAAAACATAAAATAATAATACTCAACTTATAACAAAGCAAGTTAGCTAGTAGTCAGTGTCAGTCAGTCAGTCTCATAGACTGACTGACTGACTGACTGACTGACTGACTGACTGTCACTCTTGGCGCTAACACATCATCACATTCCATCACTACAAAACTCCGTCATTGATTCAATCAATCAGCCGCAAACTAGTCACCTTCACAAACCTGAAATTAAAAAAAAATTAAATATTATTATAAATAACTATTTTAAATATTTAAATAAATTTAAACAAAAAATAAACACCTTTCAACATTAATTCCTTGTACTCGCTGCTTCTCCCAAACTCACTCGCCCGCCAACTCGTCACAACCTCAACCAATCTCAAACACAAAACCACATCTATTAATAAACAATATATCAAAAAAATTATTTTATATTTTTAAATATTTTAAACTGACGTTAATACACACCTTTCCACAATAACTGCTTATACTCGCTGTCTCCACTAAACTCACATCGTCTGTAAAACAAAAAACATTCTAATACACTGATATTTCTCTCATCAAATCAGTCAATTTTCATATACAAATTTATCTAACTTACCCTATCAAAATTAAACTTTAACACTATAAAAAACCCAAAAAAAATTAATTTAAAAATTTACATAAAAATACTCCCCCTTTTTTCCCAAAAACAAAATAAATACCCCACACATAAAGACCTCAAACCCACAAATGAAATACAAACCCCCAAACATTACTTATAACTTACTCAAAAACTAACAATAAAAAATCTGGGATGCCCCATTTTTTTTATTTGGGGGTTTCAAACCCTTTAATACTCCAAAAACTAAATTTTCTTGCTCCAAAAACCCAAAAATTTATCTTCCCCCACTAAACAATCTTCTCCCCCCTTTTTTTAAAAACCCCCCCCAAAAAAAAAAAAAAAAAAAAATTTTAAAAACCCAAAACCCCCCCCAAAAAAAAAACCCCCCCCCCGGCCCCCCCAAAAAAAAAAAAGCCCCCAAATTTAAAAAAATTTTTTTTTTTAAAAAAAAAAAATTTTTTTTTAAAAAAAAAATTTTTAAAAACAAAATTTAAAAAATTTTTTTTAAAAAATTTTTTTAATTCAAAAAAAATTTTTTTTTAAAAACCCCCCCCCCCTTTTTAAAAAAAAAATTCCCCCCAAAAAACCCCAAAACCCCAAAAAACCCCCCCCCAAAAAAAAAAAAAAAAAAAAAATTCAAAGGGGGTTTTTCCCCCCTTTTAAAAAACCCCCCCAAAAAAAAATTTCCCCCCCCCCCTAAACCCCAAAAAAAAAAATTTTTTAAAAAAAAAATTTTTTTTTCCCCCCCCTTAAAAAAAAAAATTGGGAAAACCCAAAATTTTTTGGCCCTTTTAAAAAGGAAAAAAAAAAATTCCCAAATTAAAAAAAAAATTTTTTTTTTAAAAAAAAAACCCCCCCTTTTTCCCCCCCCCAAAAAAAAAAAACCCCAAATTTTTTTCCCCCCCAAAAAAAAAAAAAATTTTAAAAAAATTTAAAACCCCAAATTTTTAAAAAAAAAACCCCTTTTTTTTTTTAAATTTTAAAAAATCCAACCCAAATTCCTTTTAAATTTTTTTTAAAAAAACCAAAAAAAAAAAACCTTTTTCCCCCGGTTAAAAACCCCAAAACCCCAAAAATTTTTCCCCCAAAAAAAAAACCCTTTTTTTTTTAAAGGGGAAAAAAAAAAACCCCTTTAAAAAAAACCCCCAAATTTAAAAAAAAAAACCCCAAAAATTTTTTTTTTTAAAAAAAAAAAATTTTTAAAAAAAAAAAAAGAAAAGGGGGGAAAAAAAAAAATTTTTTTTTTAAAAAAAAAATTTTTTAAAAAAAAAAAAAAACAAAAAATTCCCCCAAAAAAACCCCAAAAAAAACCCCCAAACCCAAAAAACCCCCCCCCCCCTCCCGAAACCCAAAAACCCCCCCGGGCCCCTTTTTTTTTCCCTTTTCCCCCTTTTCCCCCGGGGGGGGTTAAAAAAAGGGGAAAAAAAAAAAAATTTCCCTTAAAAATTTGGGGGAAAAACCCCAAACCCTTAAAATTTTCCCTTTAAAAACCCAAAAAAAACAATTCCCAAATTTTTCCCAAAAAAAAAAAAAAAAAATTTTTTTAAATTTCCCTTTTTTTTTAAAAAAAAATTTTTTTTTAAAACCCCCAAAAAAAAAAAACCCCCCCCCAAAAAAAAAAAAAGAAAAAAAAATTTTCCAAATTTTTTAAAAAACTTTGGGGGGGAAAAAAAAAAAAAAAAAAATTTTTTTAAAAAAAAAAAATTTTTTAAAAATTTTAAAAAAAAAAAAAACCCCCCCCCCTTTTTTTTTTTTAAAAAGGGGGGAAAAGGAAACCCCCGGGGGGGGGGAAAATTTTACGGGGGAAAAAGGGGAAAAACAAATTTAAAAAAAAAAAAAAGCCCGGGAAAAAAAATTTTTTTTTTAATTTTTTAAAAAATTTTTAATTTTTTTTAAAAGTTTTATGACAGTGGTAGGTATCCAAGGGGGACTTTTTTGCAAACCTACGTGTCCCAAATTCCTACTTGTCTAACTGATAATTATCTATGTTCACTTACTGTTAGGTATACAATGATACATCCAAGTAAATGCAATTTTCCACAATTATAATTATTTAAATAAAATTATGACTAAAACTCATAAGAAAATACTCATTAATGATAATGGCAGCCGCTTTAACTGTCAAGTGCTTCTCCACACTTCACTAACAACCAACATAACCAGCGTTAACACAAATTGTCAACGTAAAAAATCCATTCTCTTAATAACGACTGCATTCAGTGGCTACTCATCTTAAACCTACCACTTATGCCCATCATAATCAACTTAATTACTTTACATTATTTCAATAATATGATATTCTAACAAGCATATGAACCCTCCTTTTCCTAACAGACGGAAAAGTCTGAGAGATGTGTGTCCGCTCCATGACCTCTTGGTCACTGACAGACAGCCAGCCAGCCAGCCAGCCAGCCAGCCAGTCACCAACAGCTTCAATAATATTCTCGAATAATGACAACAAGTTCCTCTTAATGCTGGGAATAATAACATTAATAAACAAATAAAATAACCTGTCCAAGTAAATCCACCCAAACAAATATTTACAGACGCCATTCATACCTACCAGCAGTACCTTCCAAAAATATGGATTAGCCAATTAATGCACGTCTAAGGCAATTGCTATATATCGCTGCCTAGACAAATAATGCAACAAACTAGAAATCCCATTCATTAATAACTCACAACTATTCTTTGGCAAACAAATAAATATAATATTCATGCAAACAATCCCTTCATCTCGCTAGCGATACAATGATTCTATTAGCCAATTCCATTAAGATACTAATTGATGACTCATCTAGGATTTTCAACTGATAAATTATACATGTATGGTGGCTATTTCGTTAAATAATACATCAATCACTCTAACTGGAGTCTTAAAGTTACAAACAATAGTTATTACTTTCTTATTACACAGATACCTCAAGAATATCTTTAAAACACAATATTCAAAATAAAATTTTATTATTATAATCAAAAAGAAGCGATAAGCCACAAGGACTATACAGCTCAAAATAAAATAATAATGGTAAATCACTTCAACAAATACAAAATGATAATACACGTCCACTGACTGACTCCCTCCCTCCCTCCCTCTCTCTCTTAAGAAAGGTGATGCGGTATTAATACCTCAGATCACTCCTTTCCAATTGTTGCACTGCGAATAAGTACTAGAGGAATAAGTACTCAAGGTCGATAGGACATGGGGTGGGTTACGAGTTCGTTTTGTATGTGTACATGCCGGCCGAAAGCAACAGGCGTGTTGAACACGTTTGTTCGGGAAACGCTAATTTATCATAAGACGGGGTTGCCAATTTATTTGCAGGAGATTCCAATAGTCTGATAAATAAGTAAGAACGATGGGGACCTGGGTGTGTTGCGAGTCCCACTGTGGGATATATTAGGGCGAGTCGGATTACTGCATGTACTTATTGGGAGAGGAGTGGGTGGTGGAGCACCACACTTATGTCAAGACCGGTTAGGCGCTATAATTTTTTTTTATATTTTATTTAAAAGCAACATACACAAACCATAATAAGTAAAAAAAGACAATTAGTAAATCAAAAAACCGTGGCAGACAATGTCAGTACAAAAACAAAATACAATTTAATACATTGATATAATAAAATTCTACTGAAATAAACCCAATCAGTTTATGGAAAAAAAAATGACTACTAAACAAAACGTCTGAGTCATTATAAAACATGTAGGAATAAACCATACCCGCGGTCATAAAGTCTCAAAACTCCAGCCCGTCCCAGGTTCAATCCCGGCCGGGGGTATAGTTTGTTTGCAATCGTGTCATTACGATTTCTTGGATCATGTTGGAATAAGTCCTATAATCGTGTATATATGTATATATACACCTTCAAGGACCTTAACATTGTATCAATCGCATCTGCTAGAAAAATAACAGGATGGATAATGAGAACCTTCAAAACTAGACAGGCCAAGCCCATCATGACACTCTTCACGTCACTTGTTCTATCTAGGCTGGAATATTGCTGCACACTAACAGCACCTTTCAAGGCAGGTGAAATTGCCGACCTAGAAAATGTATAGAACTTTCACGGCGCGCATAACGCAGATAAAACACCTCAATTATTGGGAGCGCTTGAGGTTCCTAAACCTGTATTCCCTGGAACGCAGGAAGGAGAGATACATTATTATATACACCTGGAAAATCCTAGAGGGACTAGTACCGAACTTGCACACGAAAATCACTCACTACGAAAGCAAAAGACTTGGCAGACGATGCACCATCCCCCCAAATGAAAAGCAAGGGTGTCACTAGCACGTTAAGAGACCATACAATAAGTGTCAGGGGCCCGAGACTGTTCAACTGCCTCCCAGCATACATAAGGGGGATTACCAACAGACCCCTGGCAGTCTTCAAGCTGGCACTAGACAAGAACCTAAAGTCAGTTCCGGATCAGCCGGGCTGTGGCTCGTACGTTGGTTTGCGTGCAGCCAGCAGCAACAGCCTGGTTGATCAGGCTCTTATCCACCAGTAGGCCTGGTCACAGACTGGGCCGCGGGGTCGTTGACTCCAGAAACTCTCTCCAGGTAAACTCCAGGTACTCCAGGCAATAACTACTCGAGACTTTGTTCCACTCATCCACGACTACTACCAAACCGGTGCTTTCCTATATCCTTCCCCAATCTGAATTTTTCAAACTTGAAACCATTTCTGAGAGTCCTGTCTTGGTTGAAAGTTTTCAACACTATTTACATCCCCTTTATTTATTCCTCTTTTCCATTTATACACCTACATCATATCCCCTCCCAATTCTACACCTTTCTAAAGACGGCAGATTCAGGGCCCCTCAGTCTACCCTCATAACCAATATTTATGATACGTGACATATCATCTTTGTCGTCATCCTCCTCTAGACGTTTTCCAAACCATTATATCCATTCTGTAATACTGTGACCAGAACTGAGCAGCATAGTCTAAATGAGGCCTAACCAACGATGTATAGACT